AGAGTGAGGAAATAATTTGTTTTCCAGGGATGAGTATGACTCAGTAAGCACATATAAAGTAGCTTACATATTCAACTTTATATATCCTATTATAGATAAGTTCTATTGCTACTGCTCTGAATAATTTCATTTCAGTTCTTTGCAGAAACACTAAGGCTGAAAAGCTATCATGGAGAAAAGTAATAATGAAGAATTCGCAACGTAACACATATGACACTTCTTAAAACAGCCAAAGAAAAATGTTATGTTTCACTCAATAGAAATCAGAATACCTTGTAAATGCCATCGTATCTATTGCCTTCCTCGGGGGCATATTTGCTGATTCTCCGTCCTTTTGAACTGCGCACTACTCTTACCGGCTTACCAGCTCTCCAATTCTTTGATTCCGCTCCATTTTTGTCATCCAGTGGGGCATCGCAGTTAAGGGCCAATGCCCTAGAAAGAGATTTAAAATCTTCATAAACCAGATTGCTTCACACAACAGGTTTTTAAGAATTAATTTATTTAAGTCCTATCTATTTCCGTTGTCTAATTATGCTTTATGAAACAGCATAGAACTTTTCAGTATATTCTTCAGCAACTGCAGAACTGATGGAAGCAATGAGACCCATGCTACCATGTATGGTAACAAAAAAAATGGGAACACAGTATGTTTTGTTGTCGAGGTTTCAGATAAAAAATCAGCTGATATTGCTAAATAAAACAAACTAATTCTTTTAGATTTAATGTTCTTCTTCTTCATTTTTAAAAATAATCCCTTCCTAAATAGCAGCATGAATTAAAAGGAAATTATAACAAAAGGCAAACTTTCCCTATTGCTGTTCGCCAAGCATTGCAGATTTTAAGGCTTAAGTGTGTAAGCAAAAGTAATAAACATGATGAAAAACACTATACAGAAAAAAGTACTCAGTAACCATCCAAAAAAGTCTTAACTAACTGAAGTCTCTCACATAATACATAAATTGCCTCAGAGTAGGAGTTAAATAATAGTAGCTAACTCAAGGACAAGCAAGCCCTTTTATCCACTAACTACATGAAGCCCCTGTTCTAGAAACCTGGAGTAAAACGGTATGAATACCTACTAGACCAAGCTGCTGTAATGAACAGTATTTCTGCTACCACAGCCTGATCTGACCAGGGACTGAAAACTCTTCAGAATCAGACTCAAACCAAACCATAGATCTCAGAACAGAAGAAATAATATGTTTTATAAACAGCCATGGTATAAAACCCACATTATACAGAACGGTAAGAGACAACCATACAATGCCAACTTCAAAAATGTTTCTTATATAAAAACGAAACTTAAAAAAGTAAAAATGTCTGGACAAGCAAAACTAATGCTGATTCAACTACATGGAATCATCATAATCCTCAGTATGAAAGTGCTTGAAAATTGTATCAAAATCAGTAGAGAGCAGCACCTTGTAATGCTCTATGCACACTAACACCTGCAAAGCCACAAGCTAAGCTTTGCCAGTGGATTTCTCGTTTGCTAAGAGCAGAGAAATGCTGAGACTAAGGAGTCCAGCTTTCAATCCTGATTCCCAAAGCAAGTTTGCTCTATTCACTAAATATGCTTGTAAACTTATTGTTTAAACCGACTTCCATCTTCCTTCCCTCCTTGTTCCTGTTCACATCATAGCCGCTCTCTCTCGCCCTCCCTCCCTTTCTCAGCAGCCAAGTCAGGCTTTTCCTCTCTCTCCTCTAAGAGCTACCAAAAAGCGTGAAAGAAACCCTCTCCATTCTGCTTGGCAGCAGCAGATCATATCTAAAGCAGACCTGGCAAACAAAAGTCTCAGTCAATCTCAGCATCCCACAGGTGTTAAGTGGTCAATTGCATAAGAGACTATGCTCTTAGAAATAGAAAAGGATGGAGAACTCTTCATTCAGGCAGGCTTTTAGAGGATGTAAAAACACTAAGCAGATGTCTAATTCACCTTTTGAACATATATTTTCTTTTTCAAGCACCTGTTTTTGATAAAGCAACACCCTAATTCCTTGCTTTTCATAGAAAACTATGATGGAAAAAAGGGCTAGCAAAATAGGAACGATTTCTTTTAACATGGGAAAATGAACATGCTTTCTTCCTACTTAAATTTCATAATTGATTTAACCATTGAAAAAGAAACTTAAAAAGAAACACCCAGAATAGAAAACTTCCATTCAAGAGTTTTGACAAACTTCTCATTAAATTAAAACAGAGTCCTCTAAAGGAAATCATAGGACAATTTCAACCAGAGACATGACTACTAGCTGACCCAGCAATACAGCAACATTGAGGTGCATGTTTCTTTAAATCAACAAAACATAATGCTTGATGAAATGCCTCTTAGCAGCAAGAGGCACCACTGTTTACAAAAGCAGCATGTACAGGAGTGAATGAATATAGCAAAGGTTAGTTTTAAATTAAAGCACTACAACCCAGCTCTTTGTTTTGGAATATTTTTTAATTTTATCTTCAAAACTTACCTATTCATGTGTGTTAATGTCTGATCAAATGAATGTTCTCCAATCCTTTTATTGCCAGAAAGATCTCTACCTCCACTCCCAGTGTAAGTGAATTCATCTCCTCGATCCTGTGCAAGAAGATTATCCTTCATTTTAACACTCCAAAGTAAACCAACTCAATTAAAAAAAAAAAAAAAAAGTAACTTCATTTGTTCTATTTACTCAGACAGAGAAAAGTTATATTCCAAGGCATGGAAAGATGTGTTTTCAATTTCAGCATCACTGTCCTTTGACAGTAGTTGTGCCAGAACAAATATGGATGTGACATATTCACCAGAAAATTATTCAAAATTTGCCTGCCTTAAAAAATTTGGCTCTTGCATCTTTTAAAAAGCTATTGCTGCAGGGAAAAAAATTCTGAGAAAGGGAACACATTCTAGCAAGTAGTTCCTTGCTCTAGAGCTTTCATTTAGTTTACAGGAATATCATGTTCGTAAAACACATAATAAATGCCTTGGAGGGATCACTTCAGCTTGTGCAAGTGGCTAAGCGCTAATAAGTACAAACAGCTCTGCCTTATGTACAAGACAGGTGCTTTAATGCAATAATAATAATCCCAGCTCTTCTGAACTAGTAAAAGCTTAAACTCGTTTAGATTTGCATTTTGTAAGCTGATATAATTCTGTAGTATATTTCCTACATACAATTTTCTTTAAATTGAAGGAAGGTTGATAAAATCTGTAACCATGAACCACAAAAACTGTCAAAATCTACATACACATAAGTAAAGCCAGTATTACAGAATATACCACCATGCCCACTAAACCATTTCCTGAAGTGCCACATCTACACGTTTTTTAAAACCCTCCAGGGACGGTGGCTCAACCACTTCCCTGGGCAGCCTCTTCCAATGTTTGACCACTCTTTCAGTGAAGAAATTTTTCCTGATGTCCAATCTAAACCTCCCCTGGCACAGCTTGAGGCCATTCACTCTTGTCCTATTGCTTGTTACTTGGGAGAAGAGACCAACACCAGCCTCACTACAACCTCCTTTCAGGTAGCTGTAGAGAGCGATAAGGTCTCCCCTCAGCCTCCTCTTCTCCAGGCTGAACAACCCCAGTTCCCTCAGCTGCTCCTCATAAGATTTGCTCTCCAGACCCCTCACCAGCTTCGTTGCCCTTCTCTGGACACGCTCCAGCACCTCAATGTCCTTCCTGTAGTGAGGGGCCCAAAACCGCACACAGTATTCGAGGTGCGGCCTCACCAGTGCCCAGTACAGGGCCACGATCACCTCCCTGCTCCTGCTGGCCACACTATTGCTGATCCAGGCCAGGATGCTGTTGGCCTTCTTGGCCACCTGGGCACACTGCTGGCTCATGTTCAGCCGGCTGTTGACCATGATGCTTCATATATTGCACTGATATGACTAATGTCACTTGAAAACCTATGAATTTCAGAAAGTAAGTATTTCAGTACGTTAAGACAGAATGTTTCTTGGAAAGCATGAAATACAAAAAAGAGCTCTATGGTGCTTTGCTAAGCACTGGCAACATTAACTTCCATTTTTTCTGCTTTATCATTGTGTCAAATGGGTTTCTCAATGCTTTAGAAACAACTAGATATGCAAGGTCCTGCAAATGAACTTTGGAAAAGCACAGATAGGAGCAGTATACATACAAATTCCACACCCCATTATGAAAGTAGGTGACAAATAGGCAGATATGACTACTTTGACAGATGTAGTACTAGCAGTAAAAAATGACAAAAAGCATCTGTGTAACAAAACAAGGCTTTTCAGAATGTAAAAGTAATTCTGAATATAATGCAGGTACACAGGAGACAATGAAATTCAGAAAATAATGCATGCAAGAAAGGTATTTTTTAGTGTTAATTAGCATTTTGTATGGAGTGATAGCTAACAATATAGAAAAACAGAAAAGATGGAGAGGAGGCTGTTGCAGAATAGGACCTGTCCTGCAAATCTGAAACACTGGTAAGAAGTAAGTATTAAAGCTACTGCCCTACAAATTATGTCAAGTATGTCCTTAGTGCTGGAGGTAACGAGTGGACAACACATCTGAGTGAAAAGGAAGATATCTGGGAGCTGTTGTATAGTGAGATACTCAAATTTTTTCACATTACGTTGGAGCTCCAAGCGGGTCCCAAATGAGTAGGGTGCTTAGACCTTGGAAATGTGATGCCTTTCAAAACCAGCAAGTTTCATAGCATCACACATCAGGTTTTCAGCTACATACTCAATCCAAGTGACTCATAATAGAGAAACTCTCAGTCTGATGGCTGTAATGAAATTGTTACGTTGGATTCCCAGTACTATAAAACAGAGGTGTGAAAATCAGCAAGGAACTGTTTCCTTGGTAAGGCAGTCAGCATGGCACGATAATTCAGAAAAATTATGTAGGATACTATGTCTTTTTTGCACCAGGGCTCACACTGGATTCAGATGACCCAGATAAACGAGCAAACTGGTTAATAAAGCAGCAGGACATACACACATATCTAGGTAAACTGCTATTCACAACGGTCTTTGAATACAAACCACTTTGACACAGACATAAGGCTCCTGTTGTCACTGATTTGGATTTAAAGCCATTTAAGTATGCAATCCACACTGCACTGGTGGAACTGATCAAGTGCTTTCACTGTGCAACACACACTAAGCAGAGTTTCTGAAACACTATATCCTCATCGCAGGGCTCGGACAAACCTAGTGAGCTCAACACTGTTTATTTGCAATTGGACTATTTCAAACAAGTAGAGTAACAGTTGTTCTGACAACTTGGACCTGATTACCCACACACAAGATTAATGCAAAGACACAGAACATTTAAAATGGACAGCAAGCCATTTCATGAAGTGGTTTGTGAATGCTATGTTCCAGGCACTGAATGGGTTCGGTATAATCTATCAACAAACCTAGTGTCCCTTTTGAGTCATTAGAGATGCTATTTTCTTTTATACTCTTAGACTCTTTTACAAGAGGATGTGAACAATCCCAGCAGATACTATTCTTCAAGAAATTCTGAATCTCAGTTCAGAGATTCCCCATATGATCCTATCTGCGAAAGCACTTAAAGAAGAAACAATCTTTGTTCAGATTAAACTAAGCACACCACATAATTAACTTACCATCTTCACAATACTACCTCAACACAGCAGAACCTTGGATCTTGAAACTTTTGAAAATAAACAGTAGTTTTAACCCTGATACATAAAACCAATGACAAAAAATAGGAGGGCAATTTTTCAACAGAAATTTCAAAAGTGAAATTTCTTCAGCTATTTGATTCAATGAACAGACAAGTCAAAATACTTTTATCATGAACACTGTGATTGCACAATCACTGTCAATGTCCACTATCTAGCTTTTAAATGTTACTCTAGTCTGAAATAATTCTTAGATTTTAAATTCCTGAAAAGACCGCTCAGTTTCTTCAGCTAATGTTCCTACTACAGTCACTATCAAGAACAAGACCATGATATCAGCGATATCAACATATTCAAGACTCTAAAGCTACCTATTGTAATACTGCATCTTACATAGGTAAGCCACGTAACTTCTCATTAATTTGCAGGGTTAAACATTTACAAGAGAGATTAACATGCAAACATTTTATATGCATGTAATTAATAATGAGATTAAGCTTCATGTGCAATTTCACCCAATGCTCATTTTGTAAACTATGACTTTACCCCTTCTCAATCTTGATGCATATCCTGTACTGACAGAACTCATCATTACTGAGCACTCCAATCCACCCAGAGCATCTCAACTTGAGCAAAGTTGTGACTAGTCTGGGATTTCAGGATTCTATGTTCCCAAAGGCACAGTGTAAAAATTGCATGTTCTAAAAGCTAGACAGTGAATTCTATTTCCCGCAATATATTTTTGCAATTATTTTACCCCAGTAGTGAACTGTTAATTTAAAGAACAAGAAGAGCATTAAGATGGCATGTCACACGCAGCAGTGTGCATAAAGTTTATAAATAAACAGTAAAGCAGCCTTCCAAAATGTATTTACTTCTCAATTTTGTGAAAACTTATAAACAAGTATCTACATCATACCACTGAAATTCAAGAAAGAGTTGCCTCTCTTTTCTTGTTCTCATACAATAAAGTGACTAGATGTGAGCAGAGGATTTTATCTGAATTTTTATTTAGAAGTTTCATTTGTGGAATGAGATACTGTACTTATAATACGAGAATTTGATTTTTCTGTGGATATTCTTATAGGAGTCTAATTTCAACCTTTCCCAAAAAACATGGAAAATGGAAGTAAATTGGGAAATAGAACGAATATGAAACAAGAACTAAAGAAAAACTAATTCAAAAAATGCACCTGGAAAAAAAAAATTCCCACTGTATTCTTAGTTTAGAGAACTGCAAAAAAAAGCTGACATTCATACAAATTTTTAGGGTATCTTCTGCAATATTTCTCCCCTAGTATGTCTCATCTAGACTATAACAGTACTTAGGTGTCCACAAAAACACATGATCACAACATCACTTAGGTGAACTGGAAAAGACCTCCAAAGGATACAATTAAGTTTATTAAATATTCTTAACTGAATAATTACAGCAGCAGAAATAAGGGGACATCAGTATCACCACCAAAGATGAAAAAAAGGAGTCTGCAGCATTCCAATGTAGCAAGTACAACTACTGAGCAACAATGTTCTTAGGATCCACTGGCTAAGGGTCCTAGAACACAGGTTGGGATTGACTCTAAGGACGTATCCCAACAACAAGGACTTCCTCATGTGACTTGTTCAAAAGGAGACACAGACTCCTTCAGAGGCAATACTCTGCAGCAGCTGGTAGGTACTGTTGGCAAAGAATACATCACATTCTGATGCTATTTCGAATGCTTATTTCTTTCTCCAGTGCCTTTTTCCTTGTGATTAACAGCTACGCATGTTTTAGAAAACCAGATCGTTTACTGCTTTATCCTTCACCTGACGCATGATTCAAAATCCCACCTGATGAAACAGAGCTGCAGGAAAGGATGTAACCTGTGTAAACATTATTTAATTGCAGAAAACAGTAACCTATTAATAAAGACATGTTGGCCAACGTTATGAGATGACAGTTGGACGCAGTTACTGTTCTGTTTAGCAGCATAATTGCTCTTGTTGCTCTACTTAGTTGTTAACATCAAAGTAGAATTTTTTGCGCGTGCCTTTGGGGATTGTAATACAAGATACTGAGACTTCCCTAAGAAGTTCTGGAAGTCCTCATCAGTAGGAGTCAAAAACCTTCAGAACTTCACAGAATCAAGTAACATGCACCTTTTATTCTTGCTTTATTAAAATAAATGTATCACATATTTAGAAACACAACAAAGCCAAAGGAAGAGGCCTCTATCTATCTTGAAACCAATAAAAATCATGACCATGACCAAATCAGAACATAAAACATATCATTTGCACATAATTACACTATCAGATTTTAAATAATATTAAATTCAGACTCCAAAAGTATACTGAAATTTAACTACCCTAAACAACGTAAAATCCAGCTGTAATTGACATTTTGCTTGAGTATAAGTATGAGCATAAGCATTCTTTAAGAAAGATTTGTTTACATATTTCTTCCCAAAATACTAAAAATTATTCAGTTTGTTAACAGTTGTAATTTTTTTCACAGTCATATTTGCATAAGCATTAGTTTTAGGATCAACAACAAACATAACTCTAGCTTTACAAACACTGATACATCAGAAGAACAAAACCATTGCTTGCATAAATGACATACCACTTCATCTTCAAACCCTCCAGCTAATACAAGTGAGTAAGCTCCATCATTACTGCGTCCATGGATTCCACCCACATGTGGTCTGTGAACACCTGCTTCGCTCACCTGGCAACAGAAAAAAGCCAGTTTCTAGCACTTTTTTCAAACAACCAGCCACCTACAATCACTTTTAACAATCAACTTTCTGCTTAAAATATTGTATAGAGGTGTCTATGTAAACAGTTAATGTAAGACTGTCATTAACGGTTAGAATTCCACTTGTTTTTAAGGAAGAAAAGGCAAAAGTAATGACACCCAAAAAATGAAAGGACAATGTAGGACAGTGGTGACACTGGAAGACGTGAAGGCACACTTTCTTCTTTGGGCAAAATCTCCATGATTCTTTCCATAAGCCATATTTAAGACTGTACTCACTGCTATACTCCACTTGCACAGTCATTTACAACAATCCAAAGCAGACAGTGACCTGCCAGTTTGGTAACATTTTACAATATTTAACTAAAGAAGATCACAGTGACCTATGTAAGGATCATTATGTCAGGTACTAATAAGGTAACACACTGTAAATGTGACCAACCTGGAGGAATATTACCACACTGCCTAAGGAAACAGAAGAAGCCGTTGCAACCACATATAGATCATAAGTTAGTTCTCCAACCAGAATACCTCTCTGGTAATGAATGTGCAAATAAGCTGCAACCAGACCACCCGAGAGGTGCAGCTGTACCATAAACTGTCAACATCATTAAAGTCTGCTGGAACATCTCTTCCACAAAAATTTATTTAATAATTGTTTCAAACTACCAAAGTATATTTTAAAAAACCCAAAGCCTTATGAATAAAAAAGAGGCTATATATGAATATTTTTTTTTTCAGTACATGATGCCAAAAATACTACTGATAGAATGAAGGTTCCAGTAGAAAACCAATTAGGATCCTTCTTCCTACCTTCATACCATCCTTCAGTCCTTGTCTTTGCCTGTTTTTCTCAGTCTGCCTCTTCCACTCCTGAACTCCTTTTCCCAGCCTACATCTTTATGCAACTTCCATAGAAGTTTACATTCTTTCGCTCTAGTCTTTTACTTTTGTAACACAACAGATTAAAGGCCCAGCTGGCCAAAAATGCTGTCTCTAATAACAGAGAAGAGCTATGCACAGTATGAAAACTATTCAAGGATACAATGACACTTCCCTGAACAATTTCTCAGCATCTAGCTGTCTGTGGCTCAGACTTCATAACCTTGGATTCACAGTATACAAAAGAATTCATAGTACTACAGCTTGTCATATGAACTAGTACTACTTTAGTTCATTTTGAAGTGGGCAGCTGATCTTTTTTTTTTAATGACCCTTTTCTGCATTATAAAAGTATGTATATTGGTCTCTAATCACTTTTTTCATACTATACATCATTTCGTAGCCAGCTACACTATACTACATTTTCAGCATTCTTCCAGAATGAAAAGTCTTTGTAGTTGAACAAAAACCATTCCATTCCTTTAATCACCCTGATTGTTGTTCATTATAATATATTTTATTTTCCTGACCCTTCCTTTCACAATTTAACACTTGATTTATTTTTTTTTTATCGCTATCGGGTATCAGGATGACATATCCTAAATAAAGAAGAACAAGTAGCCAAAAGCCCATTACAAATTATATAGTTAGAATGGTTCCCCATCCCACATTTACCAGGCACAAGAACTTTGCACTCTCACCTAACATATCAGCTATTTGCCAATTTTTACAGACCATTTATGAGTATGCTGAATAAAAAGGCCCCACTATTGCACTCCTCTTTCCTGCTGTACCAAACATCCTTTCATTCATTCCTCCCTCCCTTTTTTAATTTCCAGGTTTTAATAATTAAATTTAGGTCTCTGGTAGGTAATTCATGCCAAAGATGAATTCTGGTAAGTAATTCATGCCAAAGATGCTCTTCAGATGCTCTCCAGAAGCAATACTTAGTCAATATCCTTCTAGGGAAAAGAGAGTTTGTGTCATAAAAAACTACACAAATCAGAAACAAAGAAATCACAGTCTCTAAATTCTCACAGATTTGCTGAGATAAACTCATTTCTCATACAAAAGACTAGACATATGAGAAACAAAAGCATAATTTAACTTTGTGTAGAAAACATTTCAATCTTTAAAAAAAAAAAAAAGGACGAAGAACTTCATTTGTACCCAAAATTAAATAATTATGTAGAAATGATAATTGCCGTTTGATGCCTAGTCCACACACATATATATATATAAATTAGCATTCTCTGCTTAATTTTCTGACAAAAGTAGCACTTTCATTCTGTTCCTTTTTCCTACCAGCACTAGTAATATCTGAAAACTATTAGCTTTTGTGTTAACGGAATTTCTAACAAAAGGGGAACTAATAATTTCAATTATTGTTGAAGCAGTGAAAGTAAAGCTTGATTCCAAGATTTTTGAGTTTGCATAAGTGATTTTAGAAACTTTACTTAACCTGGAAGCCAACAAAGAGACAATCATTTGTTTCAATTCCTTTCACAAAAAAAGTTCTTCAAACACAGGAGAGGCCAATGAAATACCCCAAACGGTATGATGAACAGCGTAATTTTACCTTACAAATTTAATTTGCTTCATCTAAGGCTTGTACTGTTGGTAGTGTTGACGATGGACATCAAGGTGAGGAAGAACCAAAAGAACTAGTTTAGTTTTCAACTGCTTCACTGTGATTTCTACCAAGGAGAGAAACTTAAAAACTGTTGCTAAGGGGAAAATGTCTACTGCTAACCATATCAGCCTTAGAACTTGCATGGCCTTCCAAATCCAGAGTTCTTCACATAGTACTGGAAGACACCACTATCAGAGGAAAATTATGTGTTAGGTGTTCTCTTCTACCAATAGAATAATAAAACATACGTTTTCTTCTTATGAGAAAGAGGGTGATGAAAATTTCAGAAAACAAATCAGAAGAGGCTTTTGATTCTTGGCTTGCCCCTTCTCAAGCAGTTTAAAAACCTCTTTTTCTGTTCTTCCAAATATGATGGAAAACATTCAGTTACAATCCTTTACACATGCAAGAGACAAAGAACTAGCTGATTTTGAAAATAAAGAAGTAGGTATTTCCCCAACAAAAACAACAACAAAAAAATCAAAGATAAACCAAAAATCAGTGCTATCAGATAAGGCTTGGGGAAAAGAAAGTAAGTTTGCAGTTTCCTGGACACTTCAAAACTACACAAAAATCAGTACTGGCACAAAATGAAGATGTCTCATCCTCCCTACTTTGTTTTTTTCCTGCCTCTCTGAGTATTGGCACTGTGCTTATATAATCAAAATGTGAAATTGACTGGGAGGATTAGCTCCCCTCCTACCCTAGGAGGGATTATTTTTCTGCCAGTTTTTTACCAACCTAGTTTACCATAGAGCCTAAGAAATACTTGCAACAGAAAATGAGACAGTGCGTGAAACAGCGAAGGCTGAGTGGATAGCTAATTTCAGCAGCCATACAGGGTTATATTGATTTACACTGTTCATCAGCTTAAACGAAGATTTGGACATCTGTTACATATGACCAAAAAATCCAACAGGGATTCAATTTATAGTGGTATCATCTATTGTTTTCAAAATCTACAGTCTACATCTCCTAAGTGGAATAATCAGTTCATGTGAAGTATTCTTCAGAAAATACTTGACTCTAGTCACTACGTATCCCACTTAGAAATTTAACATGTGAAATTTGTTTATCCCAATGACAGCATACTTCTTACTAAGTTGTATTGTAAAATCAGTATACATCAACCATCACTACCATTGGCATAACTTCCAATATTAGAAACATAATTTATTTGCTTTATTTAGTCCTAGTGATAACGGCAATTGTCAATCTAAATTTATTTTAGTGCTCAACCTATTCATTATTATTCTTACTTACTTCAGCTACAGGTAATATTGAAATAACGTACCTGAACCCTAAATTTCCAGGTTGTCCCAACAGGAACACCAGGTATAGGTCCATAATGATTTGAAGGAACAATAGTGCATTCCTTAGTGCGACCAACACAGGCCATGCCCTAAAAATACATTAGGCAAAATTAATTAGTATCATAATATTGAAGATTATTTGCAAATTCAGTGCAGATATCAAGAAATCTAATCATTATAACAAACACACACTTTAAAATTTGTTAACAATTGTTAAAAGGTATGTTAATTAAGTAATACGTGTTTATGGGTTTGGGGGAGAGATCAGGGTTTGTTTTGGTTTTTTTTTTTACCTCTAGTAACCTTAATAATTCTTCCACTGCTTTAACTGCCAGTAGATAGTGGGCAGGATTAAACATTGGCTTATTGTCTGTGCAACCCAGTACTGAATTTTGCGTAGTGCCTATATGAGTAGAATTATAGATGTAGCACACACATGAACAATCAGAGTAACAGCTATTTCTAAAATACACTCTACCTTGCCCCAGTCTCTCTGGCTTTCAGTACTGGCAGATGGCATCTTTGCTTTCTTTTTACTCTGTTTGAGCTTTTCTCCAGCCTTTACAACTTCATTAGAATCATTTTTGCAGGAAGGACAATACCTAAAAAAAGGTTTCAGTAAATTCTCAATTACTGCATAATAATGGCAATACATTTCTTGTAGCCAAAATAGTGTCAATTTGTTTCAAGATAAGACTGAATACTTCAAGCTAGAAAACATATAACAGTCTTAAGCAGCTGAAGCCTATGCCTTAAAAAATGAATCAAACATGAACAAACACTGGCAAATTTTCAAAATGGGCATTTCAGTATCTTTGAAGGTAGAGTCCTAGAGGCAAAACATTTAACTATTCTTTCTCACATGATATGTGAGAGGTCTTCGTGTCCCCTGTATTCTCTCTTCATTCTGTCTTCTTTCATTTAGATCATGTAAAGGAGAAGATAGCTGAGATTAGAGTACGCTGCTAACCAGTACTCATGGTTTGTTTCTACATCCTGCCCACTCTTCCCTTATGTTTTGCTTCTAGTGTAATAAATTTCACTGCAGACAGCCAAATGTGAAATAGAGCCAAGGTATCATGTAATGTGTGTAAATACACACACACATACACGCACACATGCACGCATGCACACACTCACTCACTCACTCCACAACACTGAAGCCCTTTGGAATATAGCAGTGAGAGTCATTCCATCTAACACAAAGCCATCCTGGTAGGAAAGTAGGAGATACTAGTACCCAGTGACCACAGGAGAGAAAGAAAGGGAGTACACCAGTCCTTTTGCTGCTCCTAATAACATTTTTATCCCACTCCAGGAATGTCAATGTAAAGGCACTTGTCCATGTTTCTGGCTCCCAGGGTCTGGGTTTGGCCTATACGCTACTAGTGGAGAAAGCCTAATCCACATTAACATTGCTAACCTAGTTTAGATAACTACCACTAGTACTACTGCTACTACTGGTTTAGGTTTATTAATTAACTTTTGTACACGGATATGAATAAAATTATTCATTTCCACAGGAACAGATTTCACTATGACAGTAAAGACGTTGAAACAGTAACACAATGAAGCTATGCAGATAAAAAGAAATTAAAAATAATACAAGATACTGAAATTGTCTAACACTAAGACTTTGAATTACATTACAGATGTTTAAAAAAAAAAAAAGAGTATACAATAACCAATTAAAAAATGGAACATGACATAATGCAAATTCACAGGGTGAATTAACTATGCATTCCCTGCTTCTTGATAGGGTAACCATATTACCTTAATATTTTTTAAACTAGTTTTGTATGGAGTATTAAATACTGTTTCACACATACAGTGGCTTAATCTCTGCAAGAGAAACTTACCTTCTTATCCCAAACTGCAGGCTTAGCCCCTGCAAAGAGTTTGCCAAACTCTCAAACCAAGCACTAAGGCTGCATAGAGCTGGCATCACCAAGTATCCCAAAATTAACTGTTACAAGTCAGCTCCGTAACAGTACCTCTCCCACTCAGTGACTTCATCTACAGATGCACCTATCTACTTACGTGACTCCTATCATTACACAGCAAACAAAAACAAGTTAAAAATCTTGACAGCCATTTTCCAAGACATTTTAATTGTATGAATTAAACCTCTACTACTTGTGGAATTCTATAAATTTTTGGCCAGAAATGTAAGCAGAAGGGTCTAGAAGTGCACTTAACATATGATCTGGGGGACTCCAAAGATCTTGTTGACTGTTAATCTAATTCTTGTGTGGTTGCCTAAGGAGCACTGAATCTTCTGTATGGAAGAAAACAGTCCTGAGCACCTATGCAGTGCAGCTATAGTGTTCTTACTGGAAGAGGGTAGGGAGATCCAGTAATGGCTACACTTTGAAAAAGTTTCTGTTTTTCAAACTCTCTTTGTAGCCCATCGAAATAGAAGTAGGATAACTCACGAGAATGTTTCACAAGTTTTTTAAAAAGAATGGGTGCCAGTGAAGACTAGAACACTAATATCTAATCTGAAAAATCATTTGAAGCACCCAGCAAGCCAAGATAATCTTAGCACACTAACTAAACCAGAGACACTGACAGCTGGTGAGATTTCAGTATCAGTATCCTGACGTGCCTATCAAACCTTCTGTGTATTTGAGGTTGCAGAAGAAACTAGAGAAAATAAATCGGGCAGAACAAAGGATTTGAGGTTTTTGTGGGAGGGGATCATTGACTTGAGGCATATATATTTTCTTTATCAGAAACTTTCCTGTGACCGGTACTGGAAAACAGATGGACTTCACTGTTGCTGGAGCACTGGATTAGAGCTTGTTCTGAGAGTAAGGGGCAACTGGGGAATGGATGGATGGAACAGATACGTACTTCAAGACAGATGGTCTCATTGAATATTCTGAACGAAGGAAGTCAAAAAAGAACTTCTCAGCTGCTATATTCAAAAGGTCAGGTGCAAGCAGGTTAAGAATACTGCTTATGGACTGCAGTCAGTAATAAACCACTTGTGTGTTGAGAATGGTTTCCAACACGTGACATCAACTCACTGATGTTGACAAGTAGTAGGAAGCAAAAAGATGTCATGCACAGGAGACCAGTCTGCCTTGACGGTAGAAAACTGAGGATAGTTCAGACTAACATGCTGTGTAATAAACACTGCTGAATAAACACTGTAACCATTTCACATATGCAGGAAGTGGAAGGCACATAGACAATATTAAAATAAATGCTATTGTTAATTCCAATAACCCATACATATTTCTAGTAGGTACTGAAAACACTTTTTAGATAGTCTTTCAAGCCAGCAGTTCCTTCAAAATCAGTGAATACAACTCTTCCCAGTGCAGAAATTTCATAGGAAAAAGACCAGCTTCCAACAACAGTATCCCTGTGGCCAAATGTACACACTAAGAAACACCATTGTTAATAGTCTCAATCACTAAATCACACGTTAGCATAAACACAGAAGGAGTTACTAAAAAATGCGATGCCCCAGCAAAGTCACAGACCATTAGGCACTGACCAATAAACAAACCTACTATGGCATCCACTACAGTATAGGAGATTGAGTTATTTTGTTCCAGAGAACGTTAAAATTTCTGAAGCAGTTACATAGATTTTTACATAAAATTTAATCACAAGGTCCAAAGAGATTCCATAAAACGTATCAATAGACATCTTAGACATTTACTGATGTCTATATAATGGAAAACTTTATTAGAATAAAGTTCTATCTAGTACTCATTTAAAAAGGATTAGCATCTCATGTAAGCCACAGGCAGGTGACAAATACAAACAGTGTATTTAAATTGTAGATAGTTAATAAAGACAAAAACTAGTATAGAGCCCAAAGTAACTTAACAGGCTGCTAATGGGTCCATGCAGATTCACTTCAAAATACAATTATCTTGATTAACAATGTCAGTTAGCTTGGTTTTCCTGCTGGTAGAACCAAGGACAGCAGAAATGAAGAGTAACAAGGTGTTGGTCCTCCCAAAGCAGAAGAAATGAATGGTGTAGAGGCAATGAGAAGACACAGGAAGGGCATAGGAGCAGCAACAGGGACAGAGGATGAAGAGCAAGAGAATAGTGAGCATAAGAGAATTGTTCAAGCAGTGAAGCTTGAACAAAACTAAAAGGCTGGGGAACAACCACTGTTGATAAACAAACAGATCAGATAATGTCACAGAAAATTACAAAGATCGCAATGAGCAAAATGAACATACCGGTTTTGAAACTCCATAATGGTCATTAAAGCTTACTGCTAATCCTTTGTGAAGGATTTAAGAGAATTACCTTGACAGAAAACATAAGGCTTATATTAAGCAGATGGGTGAAAAGCAGCAGAATTAAAAAAATTCTTCAGTTTTGTCTCTCACAAGCGGCAAATAACAAAAAGGTACCATATATAGAATGGCAATATAGATAAGTAAATCATCCTTGTATATTTACCAGTCCTCATCTTCTGGTATCTTGCTTAAGGGAGGGTTCAGGCAGTATATATGATAAGCCATATTACATTCATCACACAGCAGTTGCATATGAGCATCCTGTTTTCCACCACACAAGTAACACGAACAAAACCGGCACTCCTTATCTGGATCAGCCCTACAGTGCTTGCATTCAGGGCCACTTTTTCCTGTCAAAAAAAAAGAAACAGTCAAATGCCATGTATCTTACAAAAGTGCATTATTGATTCCACAGGAAAAAATTATTTCTGCACATGAACACTAACCTCTTGAAAATGCTTTTTTCTTACAGTATTTGACTATCTAGGCTAATGGGATTTCTTCTGCTGTATAAACAAGCAGTAAAGAAGATGACTAATCAGCAGCTTCTCTTATTTTCTCCCTTCCTGTTCCCAACATCCCACCTGCACACTCTCCCTGCAGATAGAGCCTTGCACAATCTCTAGTTGGAGTCTTCTTCAATACAGCCATGAAGAAATTCCAATTAGGTAACTGGTAACATTCAAATGAAGATGAAACTACAACTTGTAACAGCTCTCTCGCTCTTAAATTAAATCTATGGTTGGATAGAAATAGTAGTCTGAGACAAAACCAACATCAAATCACCAGTTGTTTCACAGCAGCAATTCAGTTTACACACAAAAAACCACTAACTTTCTGTTTCAGCTCACTTGGAAATTTAAACCCATGAACCCAACTACAAAACAAAACCATTTGCCTTAGTTCCTCAATCAGGGAAAAGATGCTTTTATACAAAAGAAAAGCATTTAATAGGCTAAATTAGATATGAAAGAGGAGATGGAAGAAACACTGAACACTAGTAGCAGAATTAACACTTTGAGGAGAAATGTTTGAAACAAGTAGAAGGTCCAGAGAAATGAGAGAAGACTTCAGAACAGAACTTGATCACAGCCCAAAGAATTCCAACATTAAAAGAAAAAAGAATTCATTTATATGTTCTGTGCAAAAGTATCTAGGAATGCCATGGAAGCGGCAGGTTTGCAGAAATCCCAGACCCTTCCTGAAAAATTTCCCCTCCCCACTAAATAGACTTTACAGAAAATTTGATCCACATCAATAAAATATCAGTGTAAAAATCTCTCTATTTCTCCGTGGAGAGAAACTCCAGACTGAAAGTCTTCTAAGAAAGGGGGACTGGAATGCCAAGTTTTGTGGTATACCTGCAGTCTTTCTGCAGGGCCTTGAAGAATACTTTTACCTTCAAAGGTGGAAGCAACAAGACTTACAAAGAGAAAGGGACGGAGTTTTGAGTAACAAAGAAGAGTCAGGGGCCATGATGTATTAGGAACCAAGAGGGAAACACTTGTGAAATACCTCAAAGGAACCATGCCTTTTTCTTCTAAAAAGGTGACACGGTTGATAGCCCAGCTGAAATGTCTCTACACCAATGCATGTAGCATGGGTAACAAACAGGAGGAACTGGAAGCCACCACGCAGCTGGAAAGCTATGATCTAATCGCTCTCACTTGGTGGGACAAATCACATGACTGGAGCGCTGCAATTGATGGCTATAAACTGTTCAGAAGCAACACACAAGGCAGGACAGGTGGGTGATTTGCCTTCTACGGACTGATTGAACAGAAAACAGCATTGAGGTCAATAGCTTGTGGGTGAAAATTACAGGCCAAGCCAACAAAGGAAACCTCATGGTTGGTGTTTATTACGAATCAAGAGGACCCTGATGATGACGTGTTCTTACTTAACTGCAGAAAACATCACGCTCACACCCATTGATCCAGCTGCATGACTTCAGTCACCCTGACATCTGCTGGAAAACCAGCAGAGCAAGCTGTAAGCAGTCCAGAAGACTCTTGGAAAGCATCAAGGATAATTTCTTAATCCAGGTGATAGACAGCCCAATCAGAGAAGCATTACTGGACTTGTTGCCTACCAACACAGATGGACTAATTACAGAGGTCAAGATTGCTGGCAGCTATCTTGCAAGGTCAGCTACAGTGGTCATGCCCTGGTGGAATTCACAATCCTGAAGGATATGGCCCAGGCGAAGAGTAAAGCCAAGACCTTGAATTTTAGAAGAGTGAACTTTCAGTTGTTTAAGGAACTACAGGATTGGACTCCCAGGGAAACAGTCCTCGGGGATAAAGGAGCAGAACACAGCTGGCAGTTCTTTAAGGACACTTTGCTTAACAGCACAAGAGTTCTCAAATCCCATGTGTGAGCAATAAGGGAAGGAGTGCAGGAGACCAGCATTGCTGGGTAAGGACCTCCTGGTCAAACTGAAGCGTAAGAAGGAAATGCACGGTCAGTAGAACCAGGGACACATATCCTGGGAAGAATATAGCGACGCTCCTTGATGTGTAGGGATGGGACTGGGAAAGCTAAGGCACAGTTGGAGCTGAATTTGGCAGGGGATGCAAAGAATAATAAGAATTGGCTGGAAGGTTGCACTCAAAGGGTTGCAATCAATGGCTCGATGTCTGAGTGGAGACCAGTGACAAGAAGTGTACCTCAGGGATCAGTACTGGGACCAGTGCTACTTAACATCTTTGTCAGCAACATGGACAGTGGCATCGAGTGCACCCTCAGCAAGTTTGCTGACAACACACACGGGAGGGAAGGGAAGCCATCCAGAGGGACCTGGACAGGCTGGAGAGGTGGGCCTGTGCAACCCTCATGAAGTTTAACAAGACCACGTGCAAGGTCCTGCACCTGGGTCAGGGCAAACGAAGCACAGATACAGGCCTGGTGATGCGTGGATTGAGAGCAGCCCTGGGGAGAAGGACTTGGGTGTGCTGGTGGATGACAGGATGAGCTTGAGCCAACAGTGTGCACCTGCAGCCCAAAAACCCAACCGTACCCTGTGCTGAATCAAGAAAAGTGTGGCCAGCACGTTAAGTGAGGTGACTTTGCCCCTCTACTCTGCCCTCATGAGACCCCACCTGGAATACTGCGTCCAGCTCTGGAGCGCCCAACACAAGAAAGACATGGAGCTGTTGGAGCGAGTCCAGAGGAGGGCTACCAAGATGCTCAGAGGGTTGGAACACCTTTCCTATGAGGACAGGCTGAGAGAGTTGGGCTTGTTCAGCCTGGAAAAGAGAAGGCTCTGGGGAGACCTTACAGTGGCCTTCCAGTACCTGGAGAGGACCTACAAGAAGGCTGGGGAGGGACTTTTTACAAGGGCCTGCAGTGATAG